TTCAATGATGAGTATTCACTGATAAATTGAGTATAATCTCTTTTTAAAGTTAGGTTAGAGTTTAATTTCTTTTCCAGAGAGAAAAAACGTTTGGTAGCTGAAATCTCTGAATTGCCAAGATTAGATAGAGGTAACTTTAAAGGAAGAGAGACAATGAATCTGCCTGTAGAATCAAAGGAAGTAGTTTCTTTAAAGTGTTTCTCACATTGAAGTTCTTCTTCAGAAAAGAACTTGGTTTTTGGAAATTCTTCAAGCTCCCAGAATTTCTGTAACTGATTTTCGAGATTTCTGTTTCTAGAAAAGTGACAATTTGTTTTGTTATGAGAAAGAAAAGGTATAGGACCGGATACAATCCAGCCAAGCTTGGTTTTGTGTAAAGTGGGTTGACCATGTGATAGTTTAATTTGACCAACGCATAAAAGATCCCAAAATGTGTCTGCACCAATTAAAATGTCTATAGGAGACGAAACGTTAAAGTGTGGATCGGCGAGTGTAACATTAGAGGGAATGTTTAGAGATTCTCTGTTTAGTGTGACAGAAGGCAGTCTACCAGTTATTTCAGGCATTACTAAACAAGAAATTGTACGTGTAAAGTTGATTGTATTTGATTTGAAGGTAAGAGAAGTTTTAAGATGAACCACAGAATTTGTTTGATTTATGCCATAGACAGAAAAATCAATTTCAGTTGTGGGTAATTTTAAAGTGTTAAGTAAACGTTGAGTAATGAAATTACTTTCCGAACCACTATCCAATAGTGCACGAGCTTCATGCATGTTGCCTTTGGAGTCAAAGACCTTAATTAAAACAGTAGACAGTAAAATTTGCGTCGAACTAGCAAAATGGTTGTGAGTTGTTAAGGAGTTTGTAGTCTGATTGGAAGGTGTTTGAGAAGATGATGCTTCGAAATTTGGAGTGTTCTGAATAGAATTATGAAAATGCAAAAGAGTATGATGAGGTTTACCACATTTGCGACAGCCAGAAGATTTGCAGTTTTTAGTAGGATGTCCAGAACGTAAACAATTGATGCAAAGTTTTAAACGTTTTGCTTCATTTAAGCGAGAGGTTGGCTGTAATTTACTAAAATTAGGACAAGAATAAATAAGATGATTTTGTGAACATAATGAACAATTTAAAGTGTTGCTATTATTGTTCGTAGATACAAAAGATTTTGCTTTGGTGCGAAGTTTATCGTCGTGATTATTAAGAGATTCCAGAACTCTACATTTTCCTTTTAAGAATTCTGTGAGCTCACTTAATGTGGGCAAATTTGTAGCGTTGTCTTTCAATGATTGTTCCCATTCGCGGTGAGATGTGTTGTCCAATTTTGTAGTGACTAAGTAGATAATAAGAGGATCCCAACCTGTAATGTCTATTTGTAAAGATTCAAGAGATCGTAGATGCCGTTGTAAACCATCTAATAGGGCTCGCAAATCATTATGTGAATTTCTAGAAATGTTGGGTAAATTAAAGAGCTTTTTGATGTGATTATTAACCAGAAGTGGTTTATTTTCAAACCTTTCCCTTAAAAGTGACCATGCTGTGGCATATGTCGCATCAGAAATATCTAAATTGCGTATTGTGTCTGCAGCAATGCCCTTTAAGGATAGTCTCAAATAGTGAAATTTTTGAATGTTCGAAAGTTCGGAATTTGTGTGGATGATGGAGTTAAAGGTGTCTCGAAAAAATAGCCAAGTGTCGTAGTCGCCTTCAAACGAAGGTAAATTAATAGTGGGTAAACGTATATTTTGTTGAGAAATGGTAACTTCACTTGTAGAAGGTGTAGATGATTGGGATATCTGACCAGCAGGAGGAGTCGAAAGTTTGGCAAGAAGTTCTCTAGCTAGGCCAGTGATAGAAAAGAATGGATTTTCAAAAGATGCTCGTTCCCTGTCATGAATAGTAGATGCATTTGTAGTGTAGTTTGGGTCAGCGGCCTCAATAATTGATTGCACATTGTCAAAATCGTCATAGAGCTTCTCAACTTTCTCAAGGCGCAACTGTAAATCCCTAAAGTTAATTTCAGTTGAAGGTAACTCTTTGACAGAGTTAAAATAATTCGAGAAACGAGTTAAAGTGCCCTTAATTGAAGTGCGTTTAATTTTAGCATTATCAGCAGCTTCAGCCATAGTAAAAAGTAAATTTATTAAATGTAAAATATGTAAGGTACAATGTTAAGTATTTTAACTTGTGTGTTAAATGAAAATGTAATTAAATGTAAATTTTTTGTGCTTAAAAAGATATAAAACAATAAACTTGCTGTAATAAAATAGCACAGAAAATGTTTAAACGATTGAAGTGTTAAATGTATCTTTATTTATTTATAAAGCGTGCCCGAATCGCTGGAAAGCCGAATCGGTTGGTAAAGAATACCCAAAAGTTGTAAAAAAAAGAAAATATGTCAAATCTATCCAGAAAGGATGTAAAAAAGACGATAATATGTGATTACGAGTCGCAAATGACGAACCGTATTGGTTATATAACCCAAAAGTGTGTGTGAATTAGCAAATTGTACTAAATATATCCAAATGTGATGTAAAAATATATATGTTGAGTGATGTGGTGTAAGAATGCAAAAATTTATTTAAAAATAAATCAAATTAGTTATTTTTAAATGTAAAATAAGGAATAAAACCCTGTAATACCACAACACCGCGTGTATACCAAGTAAAATATTCAAATAAATGTATTGTGTGTTGTACAAAATAGTGATTAATAACAAACAATTAAGATAGAAGTAGTTTTCCACCGAATTGAAACAAATCAAATGTAAATCTCATGTGAAAATGTAAAAAAATGAAATAGTGGTAAAAGGAAAAGCACTAACCTTTGATATTTTGTATTTCCTAGGCAGCAAGCATCCAAATCGAAGGACCAGAAATGTTGGTAACTGTTCAGTGGAAAACCGGGAATCTTGAGTTCTTCCAGTTACTTGTTTTTAAATATTATTTGGACTTCCCGTGGTTTTATTAAAGAACAAAAGACCGTACATGAAACTATTTAATTACTTCTATGTGACTGTTATATAAACTGTTTTTATAATATAAAAGAAAGAAAACTTAATTGTTTGTAATAACACAACTAAAATATTACAAATATAAATTAACACTACGTTGTTACATCTATGACTGGAAACCGAATATAATGAATGAGGGTTGTTACAGGTAGGCTCCCAAAAGGTGGATACTTCTAAAAATAAATTCTAACGGTAATTTCTAATCTCCCTTAGCAATAAGTCGTTGCCAACTACTAAGCTATGCCGTTTCAAAGACGACAGGACCGTCGTCAGATCTTTTAAAGTCTTAACAATTGCCAACTATTACAAACTAGATTTGAATACAGTATCTAATTGGTTTCAGATAAATAGAATGGATCTAAATATTGACAAGTGTTCAGTTATGACCTTCACACGTAACAGGAACTTTATTAAAATGGTTTATTGTATCAATAATAGAGAATTGCCCAGAAAATCTGTGTGTAAAGATCTTGGTGTGAATTTTCAGCAAAGCTTGCACTTTAATGATCACTATCACATTGTTACTAATAAGGCTTTTAGGATGTTAGGATTTATAATTAGAAACACAAAACATTTTAAGATGATAGATAGCATAATTAAACTATATAATTCCTTGGTAAGACCACATCTTGAGTATGCTTCTGTAGTTTGGGCACCCCGTGCAGAAGTAAATATAGATTTAATTGAAAAGGTACAAAAAAGGTTTTTAAGATATCTGTATGTTAGAAAATATAATTCGTATCCATACTTGGTGTCTTACCGGAGTATGCTTGAAACTTTTAAACTTGTAACATTGGAACAGAGACGAAAAATGCAAGCAATGCTATTTGTATATTATATTGTGAATAATTTAAAATATAAAGGCTTATTCTTGATTAACTATATAAAATTCTTGGTACCTAAGATTAACTTAAGGTTAAGTCATAGAGGGCTGTTTTTTTCTATTTGTGAGACAGACTGCTCGCCCATTAACAACATGATGAGGCAGTGCAATATGATACTAAAAAAAATAGCGACATAGATATCTTCAACACCAACATCAAAGCAATTAAATCTAGCTTTTTATCCGCTTTAATCATTTTATCTTAGCATGTAGGTATATCTAATGTCAAAATCCCTACTTGTAATTACATTTTATTCTGTAAAATGTGTTTGTTGTGGAATAAATAAATAAATAAATAAATAAATATCTGGGAACAATGATTGACTCCACAAATGATTACATTCAGAAGATCAAAATCAGAATCGAAAAGGCTAGAGCAAATTTCAACAAAATGAGAAGAGTGCTATGTACAAGGAATTTAAAATTGGAACAAGGAGTTAAGTTGGCGAGGTGCTATGTTTTTTGGACTTTGTTTTATAGAATGGAATCTTGGACCTTAAATGCGACATCATTGAAAAATCTGGAATTATTCGATCTTTGCGTGTATAGAAGAATTCTGAAAATATCGTGGACAGAACACGTCACAAACAAAGAGGTACTGAGAAGGATGAATAGAGAAATCGAAATTTTAAATACAATTAAAACAAGAAAATTGGAATATCTCGGACATATTACACGTGGAGAGAAATACACCTTGCTCTGACTGATTATGCAGGGAAAGATCCAAGGAAAGAAAAGCATAGGAAGGCTTAAAGTGTCATGGTTGCGCAACCTGAGAGAGTGATACGGTTGTAGATCAAATCAACTTTACAGAGCAGCTGTCTTAAAAATTTAAATAGCTATGATGATTGCCGACCTCCGCCGCGGAGATGGCACTTGAAGAAGAAGAAGAAGAAGAATTAAAATATATAATATTCTAGAACAAATATAGGATATTCTAGAACAAATCGACCAACGAATTGGTTTAAAATATTGTTTAAAAATTTATAAATATCTCTTTTCACGTCATAAAACTAAAAGTGTTTTATACAACTTTTATAAATTATTCATATAATTATTTATACCATTTTATATTAATCGCTAATTTTCCGTTAACTGTTTTAGGAGAAACGATGACCTGGACGTAGCATTAGTTGACAGGAGAATAGGACAACTGGACCTTCGCTTGACTCGTCGTTCTTTTACTTCGATACTTTATTGGTGATTTTAATTTGTACAAATTTTAGACTGATTTTTTGAATTAATAAAACAATTTTTCTACTACTGTAATTGGTGTTATTAATCCCAAATGACGGTAATGCATGTAAAATCTTAATGCTCAATTTGCAATTGCTGTTGCCAGTTTTCCATTTCATAATGCGGTTTTCACCTCATTGAAAGCAAGAAGTGCTTTCAAAAAGGTGAAAGCACTTCTGGCTATCTTAATGCGTTTTATTGCAAGGTTACGTTTTAATTGTCCATTTAGCTCAAATTTCAGATAATTGTAACTGGATACTTGTTTTTAAACTGTTCCTTTAACGTAGATTTTTTTCATCTCTTCGTAATTCTTACTGAGAATACTAATTTTCTTTTATGTTCAGGGCCATTCCAGACCTTTCGCAGTACTGCCCAGTGCCATTAACTAAATCTGCAGTCCTTCTCTGTTGTCCGTAAGGAGTATCATATAGTCTGAATATCTAAGATTATTTACTATCAGTCTGTTTTTAACCAGAGGAGTAATTCAAATTTTCCGCGCCGTAATGCGTGTTTGTAATTGGTCCAACAGCAGGCAAGTTTACTCCACTAAATTATGACATATTGACACTAATGACATTTGTGAAATTTTAAAATTCAAAATTTATATCGACGATTTTTTTGTATTTTCTGCGTTATTCCTTACATTTTTAGATTTTTCGTTTGCATTAATACAAAAAACAGTACTTTTCAGAACTATTTAGCTACATATTAGTGTTATTAAGATAATAATATAGATTCAATGCCAAGTACTATGGACTGTTTTTAACCAGGAGGAGTAATTCAAATTTTCCGCTCCGTAATGCTTGTTTGTAATTGGTCCAACCGCAGGCAAGTTTACTTCACTAAATTATGACATATTGACACTAATGACATTTGTGAAATTTTAAAATTCAAAATTTATATCGACGATTTTTTGTATTTTCTGCGTTATTCCTTACATTCTTAGATTTTTCGTTTGCATTTATATAAAAAACAGTAGGTACTTTTCAGAACTATTTAGCGACATAATTAGTGTTAATTAAGATAATAATAATGCCAAGTACTAGTGGTAATTATTCTTCTCCACCTTAAAAACGCCGAGTAGATTTGGGTCATTTATCATCAAATGAGAAACAATGTATTATAATCATGTTCAAACGAATGAAAATTGATAATTCTGGAATGAAAATAACAGCCACGGTAGCAAAAATTAAACAGGCAGCAGGTTAGTTTTCCAGAATAGTTCCAAACCGTCCAGACTATCTGCAAAAACTACTGCGTCGTCGGCATATCTAATGTTGTTTAGACGCATTCCGTTGACTAATACGCCTTCTTATAGTTCTAGCGCTTGCTCCAAGATTTATTCAGAGTATATATTAAATAACACCGGGGACAGAATGCATCCTTGCCTCACTCCTCTATCTATGGAGACTGCCTCTATCAATTGGTCATCCACTTTAATATTGGCTGTTTGGTTGTAATATAAATTATAGATAATTCTCAAGTCCCTATCATCTAACCTCACTTCTTTCAAGATGTTTATAAGTTTATCATGCTTCACTCTATCAAATGCCTTTTTTTAGTCGATAGAACAAGTATACACATCACAGTTAACATCCCTGCATCTTTGCATAAGCACTTGGACAGCGAATAGAGCCTCTCGGGTGCCTAAGGATTCGCGGAATCTAAATCGCCTATATTTTTGTCGCTTATATCTTGGACTACTGTGGTTTTATTGAAATTTTCTTACGCAAGGAACGTAGGTAATTAGTCCTTCAATCCATACATGGTGTAAGTTCATTTCCGAAAAAAACTGACATATGGAGTTTTTGCAAAGAACGCGTAAATTACTAAGAGTGTCGCAAAATAGGAATATGGTCACTTGTTCAGTAGATAGAATAATAGAATCAAGATAGAATAATAGATCCCATTCAGTGTCGATCGACGCGTAGAAATCTCAATCTTTTCGCTTGACTGACTTGCTATTTCCTGATGTAGCTTAGCCTTTATTTTTAGGCTGTCTTGCACTTTTCCAATTCTGGATTTTTTGAAATGTCTTCTTCCTTTCTTTCTGTTTTAAGCTAATTTTAAGTTCGTTCTCATGGTTATCACATAACTTGAACCTTGTCTTTCTTTCTTATTACCCATATGTACATTTCCTGATGTTTCATTTCCTGTTTCACTACATGATGGAAATGGACTGATCTCTTCAGGTCTTACAATCTTAATTATATCTCCTCCATTTGTTGTTTTGGGTAAACGTATCTCTTGCAAATTTTTCAAATAAGCAGTTTCTTTTTTTTTCTGGTGTTCCTTCCATGCTTTCCATATAGTTTTTTAATTTTTCAGGCTTTCTTTAAGTTGGCGGACTTCTTAATCTTTGCCTTTCTATGATGAAATCAATATTCAAAAAACACTATATTTAGAGGATAAGAGGATAAATATTCGACTTTCGGAACCCGTTTACCGCTATCTCAGCCTTTGCGCCTTTTAGATACGTTACACACCCATAAGTCGACACATTTTTGAAAAAATGTTATATTGCGATCCGGTTATGTCTAAGCAATTATCGTGCTTCCTGAGAGTAGGTAATATGTTTTCAAAGGGGACATGAATGCTAAATCCAAAGGCTGCAACCTATAGGAACCGTGAGGAAGAAGGCAAACAATCGTCAAATGATTAGACCTAGCTATTTCAATCAGTTTAAGATTTCTTGTATGGCTGTAGTTACATCCAAAACTAGCACTACAAGATTATCTTCGGTTGGTTTCACATGCGAAATAAAATGTTTCTAGTTAAAATACTGCTAGTTAAAAATCATAATTTTCTCCAGCTAGTACAGTCAAATTGTTTCGATGGTGTGATGGATTTGTGAGAGCTATTTAAATTTAATGAAGTACATTTATCATTATTATAATTAAGAGAAAAAGGTAAAAAAGCGCTAATGAACAAATATAAATACATTATCAGACTGATTAATTATTGTACTGCTAGTACCAACTAAAAACGCAATAAATAATAATAAGTGGTTATTAGAGGTTCAATTGAAATATTCAATTCTAAATAAAATTTCTGATAACACTGGAAAACACATGTTTGTCCTGTATAATTTCAACTATTAATTTTTAAGTTGTGATGATTTTTTGATATGTAGAATTTTAATATGCAATCGAAAATAGTCTATCGCATATGGTTTTCCAAAAATTCCACTTTATTTTTTATTTTTGCCAAGTCTGTTTAGCAAGTCACAGAATTTGATTGGTCGAAAGTGATGGCATGGTATGTAAGATGTGTGAGTCTGATTGGTGAAAAGGAGAAAGAGGGATTGAAGTAAAGGAAGATGGTTTGCCGGGAAAAGGAAGACTACTGTGATTTGAACGTCGGAAAAAGCAAGTTGTTTTTGTTCCATATCCTGCCAAGGATTGGTAGTAGTGGACAACGAAAGTACATCTTGTAATAAAATAACTGGTATATAGTATATTTCTGAAAATTCGATTAAGTGAAAATCCTTTCGACTACAAAGAAATTGGGTTTGTGTGAGATAGGAGTTTGGTCCAGGTGTTTTTGGAGAAATTGTTGTAGCGATAGTGTGTGCAAGAGACGTTGACAAGCAGAGGAGATAGCAAGCGTGTATAGAGTAACTGAGAGTACGAGCAAAAGGTGGGAAGGTCACAGTCGTAAAAAGAAAAGGAGTCAATAGAAACTTCTTGGAAATAAAAGGTTAGTTTGCCATATAATCAACAAAGACTCAACCACGATCATAACTAGATCATAGTTAATTTGGTTTGTTTTTTAATATTTTATTCAGTGATTTCATTTCACAATAAATATAATCTTTTAATTCAGATAAAAAAAATTAGAAGAAGTAATATTCCTTGAAAGAAAATGTTTGGCTTGATTTAATTTAAAGAAAAAAATGCAGAGAAGAGATCTTTTATTTGAACACAAGTTCAAACAATTATTGATAATGTGTATAGGAATTTTAATAAATTTGTAATTTTAATTATACGGATTAGCGCATATGATATATGATTTTAATTAATTGTAAAATTGTCTGACTTAATAATTTTTTTTATTCTTTTTTATTAAATTTTTTAATAGTTTAGTAAATTTATTTGGATTTTTTGTGGAACGTTTGTTGTCATTCGGGTAGTTCGGTATTTTTTTGTTAAATTATATGCCAATTCTTTTATAAAAAGCCTTTTTTTATATTGTTTATTCCTATTATATTGAGGATTTACATGCATATAAAACACATCTGCTTTAATTACCGCCAAATCTAAAATATTATAAAATAAAGCAAAGTAGCTGACGCTAATTTATCTGTTTCTACAATAATGTCTGGTTTCTTATGTTCTTGCAATGACACCTGGTCATCTAAATGCATTCGAGGACAAGAAGAATCACAGAATTACCCCTTTTTAGGACTGTATGAAACTAAAGTCATATTAAAATCATGAATGTGTTACTCACAATCAATTTAATTTAACTATCAGACGACCGGTTTCGCTTTCTACAATATGCAAAGCATCTTCAGGTCTCGATACAAAGTTAAATAAATGCTGAAATGATAAAAACCCATATTAGGGTGTTGTCTAATAAAGATAAACAAATTAGATGTTATAAATTACAATAATTATGCCAATATTACATGTCTGTGGTTTTATTTCAAATGAGTAAATTGAATAAAAAGGTATAAAAGTTTTAAAAGTTTAAACAGACAAGGTAAGACCCACAAATTGTTATAAAATAGTCTATTAGATTGTAATAAATTAATAAATGAGCTAAATAAATAAACATTACTTACATGCCGGTACTCTATTAATTGATTGATGGTAGAACATGGTTGAAACTAATATGTATTCTTAAATGGAGAACTTAATTCTGCTATTGTATTTGTTTGACCTCAACTTATTTAACCCACAATTATTATTACATTCCATCTGGTTCCGAAATATACTCATCTTACAAAATATTTGATTTCAAACTCAACACGTGGTTTGAGGATTTCCAACATAACATGAAAATCGTTCAGACTAGCTG